TTTAGGTTTATAAAAATAATTTTCATAATGAATCTCAAAGCCTAAACTTGTTCTGATTAAGTGGCACACACATTTCAATGATCAGATCCTCAGGATGAAGCTTGGACTTAGTTTCCAGATGTAGTCAAACCATATCTTTATAAGAGCGTAAAGCTGCCAGGTTAAAAGCTTCAATACGCAGGGTGACGCTGATCAGTTGGGGTAGTTGAGGGATAAACAAGCATCATGACGCGTTGTCGCACATTACTCCGGTAGTCTTTCTTTTTTTTTTTAAGGATGTTTTTCGGCACTAGTTTATTTAACAGCAATCTGACTGTAAGGGGGCAGAGAGAGCGGAGAGGGGGAGAGAGGCCTGGGCCCAGAGAATGGAGGACGGGAGTCGGACTCCAGACTACAGCGGGCTAAAGTCTCTGTATGCGGGGCGCCGCGCTACGGCCCGAGCCTATGCTGTAATTTACAGTTTGTCTTTGTTAAATTATTTACATTTTTATACAATTTGAGCTTTCGGACGAACTCACCTAGTCCATCTTCTTTCATTTCCTTGGAAAAATCTTTTTTTTCCAAGGAAAGTCTTACACTATAAAATTTTATGGTGTAAGACTTTCCTGCAAACAGCAGGAGATTAATCGAGCCATGAAAGGAGAGCTGGACATTTCTAACAGAGTTCATTTTCACACCTGCTTTTCCTCCCTACCACCACCCATTTCGTTCAGCCTTGACATCTTCCTCTGCATTTGGTGGTTTTGTTCTTAATGACTTCCGGTGGTTTCTTTGCTCTGGGCTTCGCCTGACCAAAAACCACAGATCAACTACACAGACTGCCCTCTTCTCCCGTTCTCTAATACCCACCTTCCTGTTTCATTGGCATCTTTAGGATGATTCTCATCTTACCTCTATTCTGATTATAAAACATAGGTGGGAAACCAAGAGCTGACACAGACTCTACGGTCATTGGACTTCTGATTAACTGCTGTGATCAACATTTAATAAATAGCTCTAACTCTGCCAAACTGTGTGCAGAAACAGGAACACAGAGTTTAGCAAAGTATTACATTTGTAGATGTTGAGAACAGAAGTGAAGCTCTTCATGCTGCAAACTGTGACAACCAAACCCACCAACAAGAAAACAAGAAGTGTGCTAGATCCTGAGGAACGTCAGCCTTCCTCTATGTGTCTTTCTTCTGCTTTTTTGGCCTAAATTTTTTCTTGTTATTTTGAAATCATGACAGTTTAACTCTACAGTTAAAGTGTCTTTAATTTGTTTCTGTTTTCCTCCAGTTCAGATGTTAAACGTCTAAAAAGCAGTTTGTGTTCAGCCTGTTTATTTGATGAAGACCTCTCAGCTCTGACTGCAGCTTCTTCATCACTTCCTGCTGGTTTACCTCCACATTAATATTCTTACCTTGTGTTTGTCTCTGTGAGGATCTCATGATGAGGAAACTGAGGACAAAACTGGTCACAGCTGATGTCTGAAAACAGAGAAAACCTCATTAAAGTTTTGTTGTTCTCGGTTCACGAGGCTTGTTTCTTTCTTTGATGCTGAAATCCCAACTATGAAAGAAAGTTTTAAGTTTGTTAAAACTGTACCTGATTTACTCACCAAGCAAAACCATCCAGACAGAAGATAGTTACTTTGCTTGTTAGTATTTATTCTGTTACCACAGAAATATCCTGTTTTATTTTGTTTTTACATTTTATTGTGATTCCTTCTTAAAATAGTCACCAAAACAATTAAAAACACACTGAAATATTTTAAAAGTCGTCAAGAGATAAAATCAATTAAAAAAATCACCTCCTTTTTCTTAACTGGTCAGAAAATCATGTAAACTCACCTCCAGCCTCTGTCCTCTGCAGACTTTCAGCTCCTCACGTCTGTCGCTACTCCAGCTTTACGTTTCATGATTTCATGTTGAAGGGGAGGAAGTGGACAGTAAGTGAAGACGCCTCCTTATCAAGTCAAGCAGGAGTTTTCTGCCTGCTTCCTCATTTTGCTCCTGGAGTTAATTATAAATCAACTAATCAATTTAAATTCTGTTATAAAATATGACATTTTCTCATTATATTATTATTATTTCTGGTAAATGTTTATTAATCATCCATCCATTATACTAGTTTATTCCTGCAGAGTTTTGTAGGTTGGTGTCAGTCATTTAACCTGGACTTGTCTCCAGTCCATCAGAGTCAGAAGACCTGCCATGTGTGTAAACTCTCCATCCTCAGGCTGATTCAGAGAAGCCAGTTAGCCCAACATGAATGTTTCTTTGGGAGGAGAGAACCAACATGTACTGGGAGAGCAAACAAAGTCCAGGAAGAAAAACCCCACTGAGCTTCCTGCTCTGATCCATCCTGTTATGAATGAATGATCATTAAACTCTGATGTGGATGTGCTGCCCTCCTGTGGTCTCTGGGTTTGTTCAGAGTTTATTTTGTGTTTTGATGTCAACATTTTGTATCAAAACTTATGAGGGACAAAACTGTAGTAATTTTTCTGTAGTTCTTTCCTAATTTTACTAAACGTTGAAGTACAGCCTGACCTCATCCATTAATTCCTCACAGTGGACAGAAGTTGATACAAGCAGCATGAACATCCTGACATCACGTTTTAAATCTGCTGAAGAAACATTTTATCATCTGGCTTTTTTCCCTTGTTGTTGTAACTGCTTTGGTCATTCAAATTGTTTTAATGATTGTTCGTCTCACTGTTTTTATTTTCTGTTTTAATTGTTGGCAGCACAGCTGATGAAACCTGTTGCCTTGGAGCAAGAGAGTCCTGGGTTCACATCCTGACCAGGAGTCTTTCTGCCTGGAGTTTGGACCTGGTCTCCTGTGAATGTGTGGATTCTCTCTGGGTTCTCCGGTTTCCTCCCACAGTTAAAGAACATGACAGTTTAAAGGACGTCTTTAAATCATGAGTGTGTGTCTGGTTGTCTGTCCTGTGTCTCTGTGTCGTCCTGTGATGGACTGATGTCCTGTCCAGGGTGTCCCATCTCTCTCCACTAGATGGCGGTAGGTACCAGCCCCTATTACTCTGTAGTTATGAATGAATGAATGAATGAATGAATGAATGAATGAATGAATGAATGAATGAATGAATGAATGGATGGAAGAAGACATCATTGATGATGAACAGAAACCTGATGAAATGCTGAAACAGGAAGTAAGTTCATCTGAAATTACAATTATTAGCAAACAAAACAAATAAAACACATTTAATTCTCTTATATGCTGAAGTTTTTAATAAATTGTACAGAATTTACCAGATTATCAGCTCAAAAAGAAATAATAAAAATACTTTGAGTTAAAAACATCAAATGAAAACAGGAAGGTCAATAAACAAAAATGGTGGAACTTCATAAAATTATTTCCTTTGCATCAAGAACATGTTGCTTTTTAAAGGCTGTAGTTTCTATATTCCTGTTTTTTATTTAAAACAGTAAATACATTTTGAATATTTTTTCATTATTCATGTAAACAAACAGTAATACTTTAATCTCAAATGAACACATTTACCTCCAGAAAATGTTTTTCTGGTGGTAAATGTGCAGTCAGGTCTTAAACCACCAGTTAGATGTTCATCAGTTCGGCCAGATATCCTGCAGATGTATGAAACAGTAATACGTTAATCTGAATATTAATGCCTGAAACCGAGCTGAGAGCCTGTGATCGTTAAAGAACAGGAAGCCACTTCACAGATATGATGCTCTCTGATGCTGATATTAGTGAGCAGAAAACATGATGTAATTACCAAATGACCAGATCAAGGAAATAATAATACATTTAACAGGTGACTCTGGTGTTGGAGGCAATAAGAAACTAACAAGACAAAGAAATGCAATTTATAATATGTCAAATGTTTTGTGAAAATTAAACATTTCTGACATTATCAACGTAAAAACATCCTCAGATGGTTTTACATCCTGAAGTTCACACACCAGCTGCTGCTGTTTTCTCACAGATACTCTTCTGAGGATAATCACAGCCTCTGTCATACCAGCACTTCAGATCGTATCTGTCTTTCTGCCCCATCCTCACACAGTCCGCTCCAGGTAGATCATACACACCCAGGTCGTCTGGCTGGCCGTAACCCCAGAAACTCAAACTAAAGTGAACAGAATGAGCTTTTAAAACCAAGAATTGAATTCTTCAAACGGACCAAAGTATCTTCGCAGCAGACAAACCTTTCATCCAGAGGTGATCCGTCAACCCAGAGCCATTCATCTTCTTCCCCGGAGTCGGTCAGTCCGATCCAGAACTTATCCTCATCATCCTCCATCAAGAATCTCAGTCTGATCTCCAGGAACATCTGAGCAAAAGTTGATGAAAATGACTCTGTAAAAACTTTTCTGAGCTCAGATGAAGAAACTTGATGCTGAGATGAAACCAGAGAGAAGCTGAACCTGCAGCAGAGTTTCATACCTGCTCCTCTCTGCTGTCGATCTTCACCAGGTCTGATCCCAGATCAGTGCAGGAACGTCTGCTGTCAGTCCAGGAGGATTTACTGGTGGAGAAATAATAACAGTTTCCTCCATGTGGCTCCCATCCTGCTTCACACTTCAGACATGTCAGATCTTCAAAGACAAAGCCTTCAGTGAACCAGGAGGAATAAATCTCTGTAGATGTTTGTGTGGTTTGGAGACAGCAGGAGGCGTCTTCTGTCCTGCAGCTACAATCTAACTTCCTGTCTCTGTCAGTCCATCAATGTCTCTCTAACATCATTAGAGGACAGAAATCAGACAAAGATCAGATCACAAACATTTTGTGCTTTTTGCTGCTTGGTTATGTTGCTGAAGTTCAGAGAAATCATAAATCTTTTCTGAAATGAAGTCTGTTAAAAAAACTGACAGTTAGTTACTCAGTGTCTCGCTTTGTTGCCTGACTTAATTAAATTATAAATAATAAAGTAACATACAGCTGTGAATAATATTCAGCCTGAATCTGGTGGACACATGGAGACTCAGATCGTCTCACCTGAGAGATTTTTCCTCAGAGCTTCATTCTCCTCTTTCAGGGTCTGGATGGTTTGATTGGACTGGGCCTTATCAGCAGCTAGAGAAATAAAAAAGCAGTTTGCTCGGGTGAGATTACATCAGAATTATAAAGATGAAGCATTTAATTATTTTACTTATTCTGTTTGTGATTTGGCATAAAACATTCTGTAAAATAATAAATTAACAGAAACTTACCGAGAGAACAAATAACGATGAGAGCAGCAGCCAGCAGACCGACCAGAACCAGCAGAACTACTCCCCCTGCTGGCAGCTTGGAGGTTCTGCTGGGGTTTTCACCTGAGGAGCATTTAGAGCAGAACCGAATCAGAACCTGGAGACAGACTCAGAGAAACTATCAACCATAATCATTTATGGAGATGAACTGATCCACTTTTTTCACTTCTGATATCTGAAGTTTAGTATCGGGCGTTATCCATGTGATACAGAAAAACAGCTTTCTATTGACTTAAATAAATAAATAAATAAATAAATAAATAAATAAATAAATAAATAAATATAATCAACTGCAAATTTATCTTATAACTCTGCATCAGTACAGCACATTTAAATACACCAGCAGCTACTGAAACACATAAAAACGACTTTAATTTGTTCATTCATTGTAGATAGAGGAATAACAGCCTTTAAGATAGGAAACTGAAGCTGAGAAAAAAAACAGGTTGACTACAAAACTGTAACAAACGTTCGTTCAAATGGTTCAGAAACAGCATTTAGAAGTTCTAACATAATGTAAAATAAATGATAAGCATAACGTCACTCAGTGCACAAAGTGCAGAATTAAAATGGATAGATCTGCACTAATGGATCGGACTCATTGTCATGATTTATAATTTTTTTCAATGTCGAGACTGGTTCAGATATTAACATCAGACTGGTTCATCTCTAATCATTTAGATTATTTAACCTCTTCTGTAATTTTATGTGGAATTTAACTCAAAACTTGTGAACTGTTTTCCTTTCAGACGTTTCACATCAACACATTTCCATGAAGGCATCGCTCCTTCCTCGGTCCATTTCTGTCAAGTTCTTCCTCGTTAAAGGAAGAGTTTTGCTCCCTATCATCAGTCGCTGCTCTGTGGAAATCAGCAGGTCAAACTTTTCTCAGAGAAAAACCCAGGAGTTATTTTTTGTCCTGAAATAAACCTTTAAAGATGAACATGGCAAACCACAGCTGACCAACAGGAAACATGGCTCATTTCACTGCCTGGCTTTCATTTCCTATTTTTTCTTAATGGTAACATTATTTTCAGAAACTTTAAGCTTTATTTTCCCACTGATTCCTTCTTTTACCCTAAAAATCATAACTGGCTTAAAAACACATTTGCAGACATGATGAAAGCATTCTGGGGCGTCTGTGGTTCTTTGCGTTGACAGTCCTGTAGTCTGAAGGTTGCAGGTCCCTGCCAGGCACACAGCAGCCTGCATGTTGGTGTGTGAGTGTGAGTACAAACGCTTTGAGTTGTTGGTATGACTACAGAAATGCTTTATTAAAGTGCTAAACCAGTCTGCACAACCATGAATGGAGTGATGATGTAATAGCAGAAACATGAAAAAAACAAACCAGGAATGAGAAATGTTGAATCTTGGAAACATAAAGGATGCACACATTTAGATTTAGTGGACGGACCAGAATCTGTAAACTTTGACTGAGCCACAGACTGATCTTTCATCAAAGATGATCAGCAGCACATAGAGACCCCTTATACCTAATGTCTACATGTTTCAGGTACAACAAGAAATAAGATTAGCTACAGAGATGATATACAGCTCTACATTATGATGTCACCAGGTGACTCTGAACCATCAAAGTATTGATTACTGCAACAGAGTCTTCACAGTCTGCATAAAAACGATCAATCCTCCAGCTGCAGCTGATCCAGAAGGTTTCCTGTCAAAGCAGGAATCCCTGTTTGGAATATTCACCGACATGTTTGATGTGTGACTTTAATGGTGGCATTTGACAAAAAGTAATGTCTGTTACTGCTTTTTCAATTGGTGGCTGTATGATGCATTTAAACTTGATTGACTCTTATTAGGGTATAAAGAATATCCAGAGTATGTAAGAGTGTGCAGAACCGACACATTCGGCAGCACAGATGTCAGTTTATGATTTTAGTTTTTAAACCGACTCACCTGAAATGTGTGGGATGCAGACAGCACACCAGAAAACTGAAAACTTCAGCTCTTAATGTACAAGGCCAATGTTCAGCTGCACACAGAAAGTAAAGCTGAAGTTAAATATTGAATAAATTTACTGTAAGTTTAGATGAACAGCTGGAAACTTTGGCACAGTTAGATGGATCTCACCTCTTGAATTCAGTCTAGTGAATTTCATCTCAGCTTCAGGCATGTTGCTGCTGCTGGTCTGTAACAAGTTTAAAAAAACACATAAAACTCATAGAACAGCTAGTTCAAAAGAACAAAGTCTAGGATAAATAAAAAGTAATAGATATTTAAAGAATAAATTCTTGCATTTTTGCTATAACAATGGAACCAATAAATAAAAGGACGTCCTGAAACTAAAATACATCACATTTATTCTAGAAAAAGGTTAGCACCCTTTCTAAACCTAATAACCAAATTTCTCTCTGGTTACATTTGAAAATTCTTCCAAATTGTGAACTTGATTTAAACAGTCAAATGATTCAAACCTGCTGATTTCAGATTTATTATGGTAATAATGGACTCAGTGAAACACGTTAAAACAAAGCAGAAGGAAAAATAGCAACAGGATTTTGTTGCATCTGCATGAAGCATAAATAATTAAACCTCCAAAAAGAAAAATCCAAAAAAAGAATTAAAAGTTACATTTAAAATTAAGATGTTTTCTGATTAAGTTTTAATGAAAGTTTGTAATGTAAATAACAGAAAATCAAAAACAGCCATTTACTGGTAGCATCTCAGCATACAGAGTAAAATCCTCTAAGTTGTTCTGATAAAAATATGTTGATGTCGACTCACCTTCAGTCTCTTCTTTCCTCTCTAGATGTTTTGGAAAATGTGTCTCTTCTTTGTGTTTCACAACTTTCTAGTGAATAAAAAAATGTTCCTGGTTAAAGAGAATCCATGGTTTGCTTCCTCTTTTGTTTTAATTTAGATGTGAAAAAAATTGTTTTCTTTAGAAAAGCTGGTTTCACAAATCAGATCATTTCTGGTAGGAATTCATAAAGCTTTTTTTATTATTATTTTAAAACTAATTGCATTGTCTCTTTACTTTCTTTATAGAGATGGATTTTTAACATTTTCATTAACCAATGCTAACACATAAAATGTGGATTAAAGTTACAGATTTAATAGTAAAACACCATATTACTGATCCTCTGTATTTCTAGAATTCTCAATGAATGCAGTTGGACCAGACAAGCTTATTTTTGTAGCAACATTCATACACAAAGCAACCCAAAGGAAAGACAGAATCAGCACTGGCCGTACATCTGGGAAGGCGGGCAGAGAGATGTTGGAGTCGGGGATTCAAAAATGGTTTGAATTTCTTCTTTCTGCTGTTTTCTCCTGCTTTTCATCCACAAAGCCTCATTTCCTGCTCCTCTGTGATTTGGGGTCATAGTTCATAGTCACCAAACAGCTTTCAAAAAGTGAAAAAGTAAGATAAGAAATCTTTCCAGCTGCAATAGGATCCAGAATCAGACATGCAGTGCCTCAACCAGGAAATAGATGGCGCTGTTCTAGAACTAGAATTTCTCCATAAAAAGGGCAGAAACTAAAATACTTTCTTGACTCTGGTCCTGGGAAAACCAAGAAACAAGTTAGAAATATATTTTAGCCCAGTGTTTATGGAACAGAAGGAGATTTGAAAACCTTTTTTGTGATTGAAGAGCTGGTTCTGATCCATTTTCATGGTGTTTGGATTAGCTGCAGATGCCTGATTATTATTATTGTTTTAGTAAAGAACAGTAAAGACAGTGGTGCAGTAATGTAACCTGCTGCATTTAAAAGCATGCACCAGTTGTTCTGTGTTCTGTTTTGTCAGGACAGATTTAATTCTATCAGTGGATTTAAGATATTAAGTTGATTTAGTGACAGTCTTCCCGTTTCGGCACCAGAAATGATGTTTTCTGTCTGATCTTCGAACACACTGACTGGACCAGGACCACAGACAGACACACACCATGAAGTAGTCTGTCGTCACCATGAAAGGAGATTCTGTAGCAGTGCAAAATGTGTAATACAGTCAGTTTGTCCTACTTATGCAACAAAAATATTTTTTTTTCTTTCACTATTCATAGTTAATATGATCTGAGTTGCTTAAATAAGAGATTTTGAAGCTCATAAAACATAAATGTGAGAATTTTTTGCATATCAGATTCATGTCTGACTAAATTTGTTAATCTTCCTTATGAAGAGATGATAACTTGGTTTCATCTTCACTCCCTTTCCTCCAGTTTAAGCCTAAAATCATTTAATTTATTAATCCACTTTATTTCAGTTCATTTAGAGTTAAATTTCAGTTTCAAACATGTGAATGTGCTGCCCTCTTGTTTGTTCATCCATTCATCATCTCCCTGGTTCCTGTCTCCACCAGTCCATCATAGAGCATCAATAAACACACATTTCTGTGTTTTAGTTCTAGTTTTGTTTAATGTCATTTATTCTCGAAGAAAAACAAACAAAGAAATGTTTTCAGATTGAATTTGTCATTGCTCACCTGCAATGACAAATGTCTAAAGCAGAATTAGAAATGTTCAATGTGTTTCTAACCAGAGTGTGAAGCTGTTACAGATCAGATTAGTGAGAATTTAGGAGATTTAACCTGAAATCTAAACACAACCAGATGAACTGGTTCCTGCTGCTTTCTCACAGATGCTTTTCTGAGAAGCCAGGCAGGACTGATCATACCAACACTCCAGATCAGTCACATCATGGTTTCCCATCCTCACACAGTCCTCTCCATCTTTGTTCTTTTCGGTCCAGTTATCAGGCTCTGTACCAAACCAAAAGCTCAGTCTAAAGGTAAGAAACAGATCGACTTGGTTAAATCAAACAACTTTGTCTGTACAAGATCAGTGTTTGCATAATTAAACCTTTTATCAAGTGGAGATCCGTCCACCCACAACCAACTGCCTTCCTTCTTGGAGTCAGTCAGTCCGATCCAGAATTTGTCCTCGGGATGCAAGATTTTGGTTTTTAACTTTTCCACCAGGAATGTCTGAACAGGAGAAGATGTTGAAGATGACTGAGGCTGATGAAGATCAGCGAGAAGCTGAACCTGCAGCAGGTTCATACCTGCTCGTCTCTGCTGTCGACCTTCACCAGGTCTGATCCTCTGCATCTGCATTCCTGCCTGCTCTCCTCCCAGGATAGAGGCATTAAGTTGAAATAATAACAGTTTCCTTCATGGGCCTCCCAGTCTGCTCTGTTCTTCACACATGTGTCGTCTTTGAACCAGGACTTCACTGAGTCAGGTGGAGGAAATCCCCTCTGTCCTGCAGTTACGTTCTGACTTCCTGAGTCTGCAGGAATGGGAAGAAACAAAAACATAGCCTACTTGGTGGATGTGTTATTTCTGTTTTAAGAGAAAATTAAAAGGTCTTAATGTGCCACACACACCTGCAGCCTGCGGTTAGTAACTTCAAATGACCACAAGCTTGTTTTTATGAAAACAATTGCCAGTTTTGCCACATTTTGCTGCATCTGCATCTCCTAGAGCTTTCCTTTTCCTAAAGATGCAATGTGTAGCTTTTCTAAAAAAAGAAAAACTATGTTTTAAAATATTTGTTAAAATTATCATGATGTCGTAACTTCCCTCTATGGTCCTGCAGTGATCAGAACAAATACATCACTCTGTCAGAAACAACCAATCAGAATCAGCAGGAGGGTCTTAGTGCTATTAATCAACTTGCTGCTACCGTCCTCCATCGCTCTCTGCTGCTCCACAGCTCCCTCCTGACAGCTGGCCTGCCACAAACGCTAAGGCTCAGCATAGCCACCGATGACAGCAGATAAACGGTTTTCCTGGAACTTCTGTACGATTAGCAAATTTAGAAGCACATACACATGATTGATTGACAGTGCTAGAACCCTCCTCCTGGATTTGATTGGATGTTTTTGACCGGGAGAGGTGAATTTCTTCATACAGAAATAGCAGCAGTGGGAGAAGGAGCTTGATTTTTTCACAAACTGTCTCGTCTTAAACTGTCACAACAAATATGGAAAAAACAGATTTTATAAACATTACATACTGCAGCTTAAATTCTAACTTTCTCAACTTCATTGAGATATTGGAGTTAATGCAACAATTCAGAGAAAAATGGACCAACTGTGATTGGTCCATTTAGTGTTTTAAAATCAAACCTCTAATATTTAAACTAAAAAGATAGAAAATGTTGTATTTTCCTGCTACAAGGACAGTGAAACTACAACCTAAATAATAAAGCTTTCAGGTTTGATGTTGTGAAAACCTTGAGAGTCTCACCTGAGAGATTTTTCCTCAAAGCTTCATTCTCCTCTTTCAGGGTTTGGAAATGTTGACAGGTGTCTAACAAAACAAACGCTGATGAAAGAAAATCAGATTTAACTTCATCACTTCTAACTGGCATTCATCAAACAGGAAGTGGTTTAAAGAAGGATCATCAGGATGAACTCACAGAGTCTGTAGATGACGATGAGAGCAGCAGCCAGCAGACCGGCCAGAACCAGCAGAACTACTCTCTCTGCTGGCAGCTTGGAGGTTCTGCTTGGGTTTTCACCTGAGGAGCATTTAGAGCAGAACCGGGTCAGAACCTGGAGACAGACTCACAGAAAGTAACACCTCAACCTGACATCTAACCTGAACATCTTCCTCTTTATGAATGATTTATGTGTTATCATTGTCATTTTCTCCTTTATGGACAGAAACTGACTCAGACTGCAGCTTCTGTATCACAGTTTGTGATCATGTTACGTTTCCATGGAGATATCAGTCTTCGTTTTCTGTGCGACTAATTATAACAATCAGAGAAAGATGCATTTCTCATTTCTAGTGTTTGATTTCCTCATTTTCTGCAGTGATGTAGTTTTTATTTTAATTTTAAGCTCCTGGTTATGATCTCTGTTTTCCTCTAAGTCTTGAATTCTTCACACAGGATGAGATCAGGTTTCATCTTAAGTTTTCATCTATAATTAAAAACATGTTCAATAAAATAAAGACAGAACAAAAAGTTTGATCTCAGCTCTGCTGATCTAAAGATTCAGTTTGTGTTCGATCGTTGATTTTCTGATGAAGACCACTCAGCTTCTTCATCTCCTTCCTGCTGGTTTATCAGTAATTCATTGTTTTACCTTTGCAGCTCTGTGGGCGTCTCATCATGGAGACATCAACCTGGTGCAGAACCTCAGAAGAACTTCAGTGTGTTGCTATGCATGCCTGTGTGTGTGTGTGTGTGTGTGTGTGTGTGTGTGTGTGTGTGTGTGTGTGTGTGTGTGTGTGTGTGTGTGTGTGTGTGTGTGTTGGAGGCATGGAGGCTGCACTGACCATAAAAAAAGTGTCATGGTTTTGAGAACTGAGAGCTAGCCAACAGGAAACATCATCTACGTAGCAGTTTTTAGAACATGTGTCATTTCTTGGTGGTATTAATTGTTTTTGCCTCCATTTCCAATTTTATCTCAGATAACTTCCTCAACTTTAAAGTTTTAGAAATAGTTTCTGTGAACAAACAAACCAGGTCTTAAATATATTTCCAGTGGTGCTCAAAGTGGGTCCTGGACGGCCGGCATCCTGCGTGTTTTATTCTCTTCCTGGTGGTAACAACCTTTTCTCATTAGGCCTCTAACAGCCGTCATTTGATCCAGGTGTGTTAAACCAGGGAGAGAGATGAAACATGCAGGACCCACTTTGTGCTCCACTGGTTTAGACCAGCCATGATGGTTGCTGTCGGAGAAACTCATTGTGTTTATTCTTGGTCATCTTAATTTTTAATGTCTAAATCACCTTCACTAATCATTATTCACACCATTCAGTGGTTACAGTAAAAATGTTTCAGGCAGATCATTTAATATTTAACACTTAGAAAAGATTTTAACCTTTAGTTAGTAAAAGTTTGTTTTTGACTCTTTGTACTGAGGATGCAGCAGGACACAAGATGTATGATTTTACATTAAAATCATTTTATTTTAATCAGTTTATGACCATAGCAGTTCCTACCCGTTGTGTTTCCTTGTCGTCGGCTCATCATGTCGGCGACTCAGTTTGTCCAAATTCCTGAACCAGATTCGTGAATCAAACCTTTTGGTTCAGGTGAAGCTCTGTTTCTACTTTAAAGTGGATGTAAAGACTCGTTTTAAACGCGTCGTTGCTCCTCTGCTGACTGGACCAGAAAGATGCTCTGCAGTTCCTGAATCACAGATCTGAATAAACTTTAACAGAAACAAGGAGGAGCTTTCTCTTCAGCTCTCTGGTTTGGTGGTTTGCAGCGTTTCCTCAAAGCAGGTTACTGGTCGAATAAAAAGTTTTCTTTCTCTGTAGTTTCTCATATTATTATATTTTAGCTGGAAGTTCAAAAAGCTTCAGAATTAAACATGAATGTTTGGTTATTTGAGGACTTGTGTGTTTTTCTGATCATGTTGTTGCTCCTGTAATTGTTCCATTGGGTTTCTCTCCTGATGCCCTTTTCCCACTGGCTCTACTTCAGCAGCCCATCGGCTCTGAATCATCGGTTATAGTATCTACTGTGGCTTTATTCTCTTAGTTTGATAGATTTTACCTCACAAACTGGATTCATGTTTCTCCTTCTCAAGTCTCTTTTTTATTGTTTATGTTGTATCTTGCTTCTTGTTTTATTTTTTAGTTACTTTTTCCCTGTAAAGGATTTGATTAACTTGTTTCTAATCAGCTCACCTGCAGCTTCTCCTCTCAATACTGTAATTGACTCTGACAACACAAATAATAAAAATATACATTTTTATTTACTAAAGCCACCGGCAGGACACGCCCTCAATCCACAGAGTAGAAAGTGCTGCCCTCTAGTGGTGCACTGCAAACAGCCCCGTCTACAACAACAGTGCTTTAAATCATGAGGTGATTTAAAAAAAATGTTATTTCCTTCTATTTACTGGAAATAACATATTTAATATATTTTGTTTGAAAACTAAATATTTAGTTCCAAAGTAAATATTTATTTTCCAAGCTAAATATTTAAGTTGGACAGAAATATTCAGCTTTCTAACTACATTTTTAGATTACTAGTTAAATATTTAGCTAAGACGTGAATTTGTTTGCGGTTAAGCGGAAGTGGGCTATTAAAATAAAAGCTGGGTTTTGTGGGTTTTGGGTCTTGCATCATGTTGCAAGATAAATACTTAGGTTGTAAATTAAATGAAATAGATTTGAACTATTTATAAATGTATAAATAACATGGTAAAAAATATGGCTAAAAATGTACAGTCATTTCTGTTTTGTCTAACAAAGAAATGGGTTAAATAACAGAAATTATTTACTGTGTAACTTTACAAATAACATTGCATAAAGAATCAACAGTTTATTAAATTTAAATACTGAGACACGTGGTCAGTAAACTGGAATAAATTCAGTTAAATTCGTCTAAAGGCACAAGACAAATGTATTTAATTTATGAACATGAAAATAGATATTAGATAAACTTCAGACATTCAGTTTTTAATGGCAATCAGTAATTAAAATGCAGATAATCAATAGGTGGATAACTGGAGGAATCACTGCAAAGAAGAAAACAGTAATAATAAAACATCTTTATTTGTTAAGACGGGATGAACCCACTGGCACGGAACAGGAACCAGACTGGAAACCAGTCAGAGCATCAGGTCAGCAGACTCAGCTGAAACCAGAGGAGCTTCAGACTGAGGGAGAGGACACTGCATGGCCACTAGGGGGCAGGATGTACACTGTAAAAACTGCTACCTCAATCATAAAACATTAGTTTGCCTTGACAAAAATCAACTAAATAAATTGGGCAAATCCAAAGTAAAAGCAACATCAGCATCTGAAACCAAAGTTATTTATTTAAAGGAAGTTTTGACATAAAAACTTATTTCTACAAACTATTTTTATAATTATTTACGGGTAGAAACTTCCACAAAAGTGTGGTAACTTTTCAAAGTTTGAGAAACACTGAAGATATTTTTTTAAACATTTATTAAATTTTTACCACGTAACAATTATAAATAAACTTTGCATCAAATATGAGCAAAAGTTATAAAAGTTCTCCAAATAATTTATTTCAAAGTCTTTGTTGTTTTTTTAGTCATATTGACCAAAAACGTATTTTACTGGACAAAATGTGGAACAAGTTAAGAGAAATTCCTGATCATAATCAAATATTTACAAGTTACATAGTTTTATATTTTTTCAAAGGATATTCTACATTTAACCAAAATATTAATATGACAGCAAATCAAGCAAGAATATGTTTGAATGTTGAAAGTTTAATGATAATTTCAACATGTCTGAAAGTAAATTTAACATTTTAAACACAATATCTTGATAAAAGCAGCATCACTGCAGCTTCCTGAAGCTGAACTCAGATCAGTTCACAGACTGAACTGATCTTCAGACACAAACACATGAACTCAGTCCAGCTGTTTTCTCACAGATGCTTTTGTGAGGAAAATTACAGGATATATCAAACCAGGACTTCAGGCCTTGAGCTTCTATTTTCCTCCCCATCCTTGCACAGTCAGCTGAGTCTGCACCATCTTTACTTGCGTTGTCAGGTTCTCCATCCTTCCAGAACGTCAAACTTGGAGCACAGCAGGAAGAAAATATCAGGTAAATGTTACATAACACCATTTAAACACTTTCTCATTATTCAGACCTTTTATCCTGAGGTGATCCGTCCACCCAGAACCATTTTCCTTCTTCCTTTAAGTCTGTCAGTCCAATCCAGAACATGTCCTCATCGTCCTTCATCAAGACTCTCAGTCTTTCTAACAGGAACATCTGAATAGGAGAAGTTAATGAAAATGACACTGAGATGAAGAATCATTATGCTGAGATGAAACCAGAGAGAAGCTGAACCTGCAGCAGAGTTTCATACCTGCTCCTCTCTGCTGTCGATCTTCACCAGGTCTGATCCCAGATCAGTGCAGGAACGTCTGCTGTCAGTCCAGGAGGATTTACTGGTGGAGAAATAATAACAGTTTCCTCCATGTTGCTCCCATCCTGCTTCACACTTCAGACATGTCAGATCTTCAAAGACAAAACCTTCAATGAACCAGGAGGAATAAATCTCTGTAGATGTTTGTGTGGTTTGGAGACAGCAGGAGGCGTCTTCTGTCCTGCAGCTACAATCTAACTTCCTGTCTCTGTCAGTCCATCAATGTCTCTCTAACATCATTAGAGGACAGAAATGAGACAAAGATCAGATCATGGACTTACTTTTTCCTGCAAGAAATGTAGTTGTTGAAGTTGGACTTCCAGCTTTTCGAAAAAAGGGAAAGAAAAAAGAAGT